AAATGATCAAATAATTTATTCTATAAAAATTGATGAATGTATTGGACAATTAAAACATAATGGTTATATAACACTTTTCTTAATAGAATCTTTCTTAATGAAAAGAAAATGATATAACAAGACAATCAAAGAATATGAGAGAATATATTTCAATAGAAAAAATGATAAAATCATTCAAAAGTTATAAAAATTAATCTTAATTAATTTTAATAATAAACAAATATCTTTTTTAAAAGTAAAATAATATGAATAAATAAAAGTATAATATGTTATAGAAGTAAAATAATTTAATGTAAATTAATTTGTTCTAATTTTTAAACTGATATTTTTAGTATGAAAATATCAATCAAATTATTTAAATTATCAAATATGTTTTCAATATAAAATTTATTCAGAATGTATATGTTAAAATTTATTATATTTTTTAAACTAACATAAATCTAAATCCATTATTTATCATCATATCATATTTTGCACTAATAAAAATCTATCAAGTATTCTCTTTTCAAATTATTCTATCTTCGAACAACTGAAGTGAATATTCATTAGATTTTTCAATAATTCTTGTAAATATGAAGAAATATTAAAAAATTATTTATATTATATAAAATTTTTTGAACAAAAATAATCAAAAAACAATTATGGCAAATTATTTTCTAATTTGAATAATTTACCATAATTGTTTTTGATTGTATATAGAAATGTTCTATTACCATTTCTACTGTTCTTTCATCAAAAATATGATTCTTCAAGTGTTTGTCATTCATTTAATTTTTTATTAATATTGATAATTTAAATAATAATAATCAAATCAAAACAAATAAAAATTAGATAATTAAATGTTAATAATTTTAATTTATATTATTCATTATTCAATGTAGATTATTTGTTTTAACAATGTATTTTCATCATTTATTATTTTATTCTTTAATTTTAGTTGTTGAAATATGATAATTTCATTTTCTCATTTATTTGATATGAAATAAAGTATTTTAAACATCAATTATTTAAATATTCGTTATTTAATTTCTATTTGATTTTGATGGGTTTGAATTTCTTCTTTATTTTCTTATTTTAAGAAGAATATATAATTATTACTGTATTACTATGAGTTAATATTCTTTTTAGAATCAACCACTAGACCCTTTTCCTTTGATGATCTTTCTTATATTATCAAATAATACTTGTATCATAACAAGTAATAATAACATCTTTATAAATCCCATTCTTTTATTGTCAATGATATTCTGTCATTGTACATAATAAACACTGTTATTCTTGTAGTATTGATTATGATGTTTTTCTAACTAAATACAACACTATAACCAGTCAATAACTGGTTGATTTGAATGATGGAAATATTTAGTGGAGTGTGTGTTGTCTCTGACGTGCTATATTCGATCAATAATGAATAAAATATAAAATAAAATGAAATATTTAATAATTATGAATTTATTAAAAATAAAAATAAATATCATTTTATTTTATTTCTTATTATTTATTGTTTTTCATAACAAATATCAATTAATAAAAATAGAATGATGATAAAGAATAAAAAAGAAGAAATTAAAATATAAAAATAAAAGAACTAATAAAAACAACTAATAAATAATAAATCAATAATGAAATTAGGATATAATGAAATAATGATAGTATCAATGTACTTTAATGATATTAATGATTTTATTAATTTAGAAATAGGAATTAAAAGATTTCAAGGAAATATTGAACGATTTCATTTTAATCCAATTCCATTAGATTATTATTCAAGAAAATTATTTACTAATATTGAAACATTTCATATTTATAATAGAAGTGATAGAGTGTTTAATGATGGAAGAATAAATAAAAAAGTAATATGGTATACAGTAAATTATTCAACATATTTAAAAGAAAAAGAACAAGGAAGTATATGTAAAAGTATTGCATATACAAATGAAGACAGAAAGAAATGCGGAGGCATGATACCACCAGAAGTTACAATTATTGGAAATAAATGCTTTAGTGAATGTCCAACACTAAAATCAATTAATATACCAACATTAGTTAAAGAATTAGGAGATGATTGTTTTGAAAGATGTACGTCATTAACATCAATTACTATTCCATCATCAATTAGTAAATTAGGAGAATGTTGTTTTGAATACTGTTCATCGTTAACGTCAATTAGCATACCACTGACAGTTAATGAAATAGGGTTGCAATGTTTTAGAGAATGCACATCATTGACATCGATTAATATAGAAAAGATACAATTTATTAGTGAAGATAGTATATTTCTAGGAGATGAAAATATGGTATCAATTTATATTAGTGGGTTGAAAAGAATTAATGGAAAAGAAATACAACGAAGAGACATTAATGAATTTGTTATCCATCAACAGTTACTAAATTAAAAAATTACTGTTTTAGTGAATGTACTTCATTAACATCAATTGATATCCCACAATCAGTTTGTGAATTAGGTGATGAATGTTTTAGTGGATGTTCATCATTGGTATCAATTAATATTCCATCATCAATTAGTGAAATAGGAAGGGATTGTTTTTATAATTGTAACTTATTGACATCGATCAAACTACCATTATCTTTAACTAAAATAGGAGACCATTGTTTTGCTAAATGTAATTCATTAAAATCAATTAATATACCATCAGGTGTTAGTAAATTAGGTGATAATTGTTTCAGTTGGTGTACATCATTAACGTCAATTACTCTTCCGTCATCAGTTAGTGAATTGGGCGATTTGTGTTTTTATGATTGTTCATCATTAACATCAATTAGTATCCCATCATCAATCACTAAATTAGGAATTAGATGTTTTGAGTTTTGTTCATCATTGAGAAGAATTAATATACCAACATCAATTAGTTCATTTGGAAAATCTTGTTTTTATGAATGTGGGTCTACAACTAAGTTAAAGAAGAATAAAAGAATACCTGAAGAATCTTTTCAAAGTTCAGAAGATGTGTGCACAGCACAACTACAACAAATGGATTGTATTGTAGTTTGAAGAAGAGCTGAAATATAATTGTCATAATTATAATTTATATTCTTATTTTTGATTGTTTGTTGTTATTTCATTTCATCTTCTATTCTTGTTAGTTTGTATTTTAATACAATAATGTAATATGAATTTCATTTATCATTTATCATCATTTATTTATCGATTATTTGTTTTCAATTTATTAATCTTTTCTATCTTATGATTGATATATCATTCTTTATATTTGTTTTATAATTTTTTTTTATTCTTTATTTCTTTTTTTCTTATTTTATTTTTATATTCTTATTCTTATCTTTTATTTTATATCTTTATTTTATTTTGTTTATTATTTATTATATATTTTATCTTATTTATCTTCTTATTTATTTTATTTTATTTATATTTATTCATTCTTTATTCTTCATTTTGTTTTAATTAATATTAAAATTATTTAGAAATGAGAGAATATAATGATGAGTTTGATTTTATATTTTGATTATTTCATTAATCAAATTGTTGATTATTGATTATTGTTGTTAATTTTCATATTTCATTTTATTTTATTATTATTATTTTATTGATGATTTCATTATATTGATTGTTTTGATACAATTAAATACTTCTTATTGATTAATATCATCTAATCATTCATTAAATGTTGAAATATTTCATTTATTTGTATTTATATTATATATTATGTATATATTGATATATTCAATAATCAAAATGATAAATATAATAATAAAGAAAGAAAATATATAAAATAATATATCAGAATATTAAATAATATAATCATATAATGAAAATAAGATAATGAATATAAAGAATAATAATATTAAAATAATAAATAAGAAATAACATGAGAATGAAAACATAATAATAAATAAATAATAATAACAAATATAAATGATTAATATTGAATTAATATATTAATCTATATAAAATATCTCTAAATCAATAATAATAATAATAAAATAACATATATTCATAATGATAATAAATAATATTTCATATTCTATCTCATTCATTTTATTTTAAAATAAATAAATAATAAAAATAAATTATTCAATTATAATTTACATATTCATTCATTAATTATAATAATATATAAATATTTATGTACATTCATTTTATATAAAATATTCATTAAATCTAAATCATGAATATGTTAAAATAAATTATATGAATGATATAATATTAAATATATAATAAATATTATATGATTCAATAACATCATTATTATTAAATTTACAAATATAATATTTGATACATTTGAAAAATAAATGAAATTAAACAATGAATATGTTATTAAACATATTAATATTCAATATTTAATGATGAAATAATAAAATAAAAATAATTTACTTTTTCAGAAAGAAGAATTGTTAATCACAGTTGAAGTAAAAATATGTATTATCAAAGAAGAAGGAATAGATGAAGCAATTACAAAATTACTTAGAATAGGAACAAATAGTTGAGTACTTGAAATGGTTGGGATGAGTTGTATTGAAAATGGATATAAAACATATGGAATCAAATGTTTAAAGAGTGGTATGTCAATGATATGTAAAAGAAATGAAGTTGATGGAGTTAGATTATCACGAATTATTCGAGAAATAATAAATGAAAGTGATGATGAAGAAATACTTGATATGATAGATAAAGCAATAACAATGATTAAAAGCACAGACGGAATATACCCGAAAAAAGAAATTGAGTGGTTAATGGGAATTAGTTGGAATAAAGGAAATAAAAGTAGATATAAACAAGATAATAGAAGAGCAAAAGAATGGTATAATAAAGCAATAACATTAAGTGAAAATATAGAAAGAAGAGATGAGATTATAGAAAAGATGAATAAAGAATATCAAATATTCATAAATGAAATAAATAAATCAAGTATTTTTAATAAGTTACAACGTATTAAAGAAATAATAAAGATAAAAATGATAAGAAAAACAAATAAACTAAATAAATGATTTAAAAGAATACAACAAAATAAAATACACATTCTCAAATGGTTATAAAACAATAAAATAAGAAGAATATTAATAGTAAATAATCCAAAATGAAATAAAAAGAATGACAAATGAAATAATATAAATAATATGAAATATCCTTTCTATCTACTTTCATCATTCTTTTTTCTTTCTACTACTCTACAAATTACAACTCTTATTTCTTGTTTATTCTTTTCTTTCTCTTCTTCATTTTTATCAGTATGTTTTTCCTTTTTTATGTATTTTCTTTTTATTTTGGATTAAATGTATTCTTTATGATTAAGAGAATTATTCAAAGAGAAATCACAAACATACAATAAAATAAGGAGAAAGCATATCAAACAACAAATCCAAAGAATAGAAGAATGAGAATAAGTATTATTCATATGAACATAATTTCATTAACACTATCATAACTCTAACTACCATCATATTTACAACCATAATATGAATTATTTTATTCAACCTCATCGTCATATTATTTTAACAATAATTCTAATAGAAACAAACAATATTATCATACACAAATAAATAATACAATAAAAACAAGATTAATAAAAGATAACTAATATGAAGAAAAGATATAATAATTTGAAAGAATTAATCTAAAATAAATATGTAGTATTAACAATAAACTGATTAATACAAAGAATTAATAAAAACATAACTACAAAAATTACAATTATATTTCATTAAAATAATACAATCACTTATTATTAAAAATATCAATTATTTAACTCTTGAAATTATTATAATAAACATAGAACATATTAAATCACAC